CCGTTCCCCAAGGACAAGGCTGAACTGAGCTGAAGAGTTGGCGAGACACTGGGTCGATCAAGTGACACTCTAGCCGACCGCACAACCGGGGCACGGCAGCGCCGGACAGCTTGCAGATTGTTCACGGACTGCGCCTGCGCCACCTACCCCTTGGTGTTAGCGGTGAGAGGCGGGGCTCCGCTCGAGCTGCGCTCCGGTCTCCAGGCAACCAGGATAACAGCGGCCAACTAACAGCGCCTGCGCGGTCGTGGGGTGGCGAATGGGAGGGTCAGGTATGGCAAACTAGGTCCTGGGGTTACCCTTGAGCTGGAGGGGTCCCCAAGAGCGTCAGGTTCTCGAAAGGGCGGGGAATCCTGAGGTCAGCAACTTCGACCTTCTGAGGGGCAGTAGATAGAGGGCCTTATCCTCAAAGGCGGAGTCTCCAACTGAGGGCCACCTCTCGACCCTCCGGGACAGAACAAGACCTCCGCGTTCCGGATTACAGCCAGCTGCCTCCAGGTCAGGTGGCCCCACCTGTCAGGTGACAAGCCTTTTGCGGTCTGTGCCTCAGGGACTTCTTGGATGCGGGTTTGACAACCAGGCACTTGCTTCATACCCTGGCGGGTTCTGCTCTTCGGAGTCCAGCACGTTCCAGCCAGACGGAAGCTCTGTGCCAGGCCCTATCTCTGGGCCACAGTTTTCTTAACTGTAAAATGGTGGGGCTAGGCGCAGAGAGAACATTTCAGTTTACAGGTGAAAAACTGGGGTCGAGGGACGCTGCTTGTTCTGAGTGACGGGGCTAAAACCTGATCACTGCTCTTTCACCTGCTACATAAAAGTGTATGGCAGAAACTAGTACTGGTGGAAAGAAAAACTAGGTGGCAGAAACACCTGTATCCCATTTGTTTTCCTGTCTTCAGGGCCTACCACAGTATCTGGCACATAACCATTACCCAGCATATTGAACATTCAAGCCTGCCCAGCACCACTGTCCTTAGAAAAGTTTAAGGTAAATGTGGGTAAGGCAAATGTAGAAATAGTTTACTTAGCAAGTGGGAGTGAACCTCAGACAAATTCTTCACATGTATCTGGTTTGAATCTCCCCTAGGCTTCAGGCCAAGCCCTGAATGGCTGGTCTCCAGTTGGCTCCTCAACTGCCTGTGGGCGTTATGTTCCCACATAATAAAGCAGCCGCTCCAGGGCTCCACTCAGCCAAGCAAGACCCTTATGAACAAGGTGACTCTTCCCAGCAGTCCTCCATGGGGCACCTGAAGAGTTTTCAGCAGAAGCCTTTGAACAAGAAAGAGCTGGCACTGGATAATGTCTACACTCACCCCAAATGGAACACCTGCACAAAAGCCCGGAGCTACTCCTATTCCCACTGTGCTGGAATCAGCCAGCGAAACTCGGGAAGCAATCCCCAGGGCCAAGGAAAGGGCTTCTTGTACTCTTCAAGCCCTCAGTCCGGGTATCCCAAAGCAAATGACCAAGACTTCATCCCCTTTACAAAGAAGCGAGTTGGGGTGGACCGGGCCTACCCCTTGAAGCCTGTGGTCCACCGGAAGTCTCATAGTACAGGGGAGGCTGGCACTGACAGGAACCAGAATGTCTACCCAAGACCCCCTGACCCAAGAGAGTTTTCAGACAGCAATTTTGGTTTGAGGAACTGGGTGAATTCATCTGTTCTGGCTTCCATGCAGGGGGAGGCCATGGCAAACCTCCACAGGACCAACTGGATGCAGGTCCAAAGACTAGAAGCTGCAGGGGAGAGCTTAGAGGAGGAAATCCGAAGAAAGGAGAGTCTCCTGAGGGAAAAGCTGAAGAAGACAGAGGAAGAACTCAGAAGGATCCAGAGGGAAAAGGAACAGGCGAAGGAAAATGAAGAGCAAGAGCTGCAGAGAATGATACAACTCAGAAGAGATAAAGGCAGTAACATTACCATCATATACAAGCCTGTCTTTTCCCCAGAATTTGGGACTGAAGAGGTGTCCAGTAGAGACAGGAGAGAGGATGAAACTTGGGGACAGCCTCAGGAAAATTCTAGTCCAATCCAGTTCTCTGATTATGGAATCCAGAAATTCAAAAAGGAAAGGCTAGTGGCAATCAGTAAAATCCAAGACCAAGCCTCAAGGCCATTGGTGGAGGAGTTCTTTCAGCCTTCAGAAGAAGCAGGCAGTAATTTGCAGGGATCCACCAGAAGTTCTAGCTTGTCCAGGGCACCAGAGTCCTCGCGTTCCAGTGGCTCCACTGAAGAGCCAGAACTGGGCAAGTGCAGCCACTGTGGGCGCACATTTCTCTTGCTCAGGCTGGAGAGACACTCCACCATCTGCAGCAAGATGCAGGGTTCCAAGAGGAAAGTGTTTAACTCCTCCAGAGCCCGGGCGAAGGGCACAGAACTAGAGCAGTACTTGAACTGGAATGGGCCAGCCACAGTCAAGGTAATAAGAGCCGCATGGATCTGACTTTGTGTGGGGATCTTTGTAGGGGCCTGTTATGTCCTCTTCAGTTTTCTTTAGGGAAAACTCAGGTGCCATGTGGGATGAAGGTGAGAGTTAACATTTCTTGATTACTACTGTGTGGCAGTCACTGACAGGAGCTTTTCCTGTGATCTTCACAATTCTGTGAGAATCTCATTATCTCTCATTTTATCAATTAAAAAATTAAGACTTGGGGGCAGGGGATTTAACTCAGTGGTTCTGCCACCTGCCTTGAAAGCGCAAGGACCCGAGTTCAATCCTTGGTACCCCCCCCCCCCCCCCGCAAAAAATTAAGACTTGGAGGGCCGGGAATATAGCTCAGTGGTACAGTGCCTGCCTGGAAAACTCAAGTCCCTGAGTTCAATTCCTTGCATCCCCCTCCACCCAAAAATCTCCAAACTTGGAGATGCATACTCATATATCAAGCCTTGTACAGGTTAAGTAACTTTCATGAAATCACAGCTTTAAGTGACAAGGCCAACATGTAAATCTTGGTTGGATTAATTCCAAAATCTAGACTTAAAAGAATGTCCTTTTGATTATAAAAGTAATAAATGTTTAAAAATCAATAAATTTAAAAACATAATAAAAATATGATAAATCTAAAGAAAAATCTATACACAAAATGTTTATTTTCTTGGTTTGCCAAGAGAACTTCTTGCTCTTTGCCATATACTCTGCCACCTCCTGAAGCTAGGATCTGTTACCACTCCTTTAGCTGTATCCACTCTTTCAAATTTAGCTTAGTTTTGATACACCTTAGTAAATGCATGAAACACAACTAAGTTCAGAGTTATTTTTCTCCTTAGAGTATAAACACCTTCAGTGTAAAAGATTCTCTTTTTGGCTATCTTTCAAAACATCACTTAGAAAAACCAAGTTATTAAGTTTTAGGGCCGGGAATTTAGCTCAGTGGCACTGTGCCTGCCTCCCAAGCACAAGGTTCTGAGTTCGAGCCCTGGTACCAAAAAAAGTTTCAAGACATTTATATGATAAGTTCAGGAGAATTTCAGAGGTACATTTGGATAAGATTGTTTCATAAATAACTTGACTATCAAGTAATGCCACTTGTCTTATAAAATGAGTATTTCTCAAACTGTTGTGTACTGACATTTTTATTTTAGTACTTTTATTTTTTAGTGTGTATTAGAGAAATATAACAGCATATTAAGCCTATAATTTCTGGGGATCATGAATTTAAAGAAAAATATTAATAGTAAGGAGAATAAAATGATCAAATTTGGGGAATGCCTAGGCCATATGATTTTTTTTTTGGTACTGGGGATCAAACTCCAGGACCTTGCGTTTTTGAGGCAGGCTGTGGAACCACTGAGCTAAATCCCCAGCCCTAGGCCATATGATCTTATAGACCTTATCTAGCTCTAATATTCTAGAAAAATAAAAAAGTGTCTTATTTTCATTTCTTTTCCAGCCCTTCCTCTGCTGTATTGGTACTTCTTGTCCATCAGGACTTTACTGTTCCATGTGTATTTGCTGAGGCCTTTAAAAACGCACGTGGATGTGATGGTTGTTAGGAGATGTACAGTACTTTGCAATTAGAATTCTTTTAGTACAGTCTGGGAGATCACGACAAGAAAGTGACTCCCATGTTCAGAGATAATGTAGCAACCAACAAGAAGTCAACAGCTTGCCCTGGCAGATAATGGTAGGATACCCGGTCACTGTTCTTTCCTGTTTTCTTTTTGGTCAGCTCAGTAATCCACTGGGGATTCCCTGTGTTCTACCACAGCAGTTTATATTTGGCCAGAACCTAAAAGGATCTTGTGCTTCTTAAACTTCCTAAATATAGTGGGAGGGAAGCAAAGGTGTTGGGTTTCTGAGATCAGACACCCCAGCTTTGTGGAAACTAGTTTGAGGAAATGTGTTTTATTGAGGACACTGAGGCAGAAACGATCTGATTTGAGTCTTATGCTAGAGCTCTGTGTTTTGGAAGCTGAGTGGTGATATCTCCATTGTTACTTCTCTAGTGTACTACAAGAAGTGACTTTTAAAAATCTTTACATAACTTTCAGCAGACTTGCATATCTTGTTTACTCCATACATTGGGAGCATTTGAGGACAGGGACCACACACATCTTTGTGCTTAATGTGTTAATTGAATATAATTTCAATAAAAATTAAAAATTAAGGGGCTGAATGTGTAGCTCAAGGGTAGAGCATTTGCCTAGCATGCCTGAGGCCTTGGGTCAAGCCCCAACACTAGGGGGAAAAATTAAAATATAAGTATCATCATACACTTGAGGAACCTTCCCTTCTGAATTCTTTTAAAGGTTCTTGGATACCATCTCTAATAGCAGCTCACTGGCCTTCTCTGTTTCCATTTCAGGAAGAGACTATCCTGATGGATTCTTCCTAATCCTTTAATAGTAACTCTTGCTGTTATCGAGAGCTATTTTCTTTTCCTTTTTTCATTCTTTAAAAATTAATTTTAAGTACTGTTACATGCCTTTTAAAAAATCATGAAGTACTAAGTCTATGGTGCAGGTCAGCAGTCTTAGCCTTTCCTGGACTCTAGTACAGCCCCCAGTTCTGTTAGATGGTTTTTCTGATAAGCATTTCCATATTCCCAAATAATATGCTTATTTTCTTGATTTGCTCATTTCCTACATTATCCAATGACTTCTTATGGAATTGTGAGTGAAGCTGTCTTTCATATCCTCTCTCCCCTTAACTTTTTTTTTTTGGTACTGGGGATCGAACTCAGGTCCTTGAGCTTGAGAGCCAGGTGGCGGAACCACTGAGCTAAATCCCTGGGACTCCCCCCGCCGTTTTTTGAGACAGGGTCTCACTATATAGTTCAGGCTGGCCTTGAACTCATGGCAGTCCTCCTGCCTCAGCCTCCCGAGTGCTGGGATTACAGGTGTGTTCCGCCATACCAGCTCTCCTTTACATTTTCTACTCCTTTTCCTTCTACTGTAGTTGAACCACAATTTTGGATTAAATAGTCAGATGTTACATGATTATGTAAATTTTGCTCACTTTTGAGTGAACATATTCTGCTCCTGCCTACACATACTTGAAGTTACTGATTTGTTTTCTACATACCTGTCTCTAATTTTTTCCCTAGATGATCTGATGCCAGAGATCTGTTAATGTTTTTATGAAGTTTTCAAATACTTCTCATAATGCATCAGGGTTTTTTTAAAAAAAAATTCTGAAAACTTCCCTTTCTCTACTTTTCTTCCTCCGGCTCCAGTCTGGAGTGGCTATTTCTTTTCTTTTTAATTTTATCGGTACATTTTAGGTATACAATATGTTGACATTCATTATTGGGGGTTTGTACCTTTACATAATATATCTTGGTTCTTATTGTTTTCCCCATTCCCTCCCCTCCAACCCCTCCACCCCTCCCTTTTTACAAAGACTTTGTTTCCATTTTTTCCTTTTCTCATATTTATTCTTTTCCCTTCTTTCCTTTCCCCTGCCCCTCTCACTTCCCCTTCCCCTCTAGACCTTTTCTTTCTATTTCCGGAATGGCTGTTTCTGAGGCCTGGTACAGACCTGTTGTTTGGGGACTTGACTTTTCTCCTATTACCAGAATCCTGTGTCTTCTATTTTCCTGCTCCACTCGTTGCTTTACTAAAAAAATGTACACAGGAAGTATATTTCGTAAACTTTTGCAATGATTGTTCTGGATATTTGGTAAGCCATTTCAGTCTCAAGACTTATGAGCTTTAATTCTAGGAATGTTAATGAATGAAAATATCTATATAATAGTTTATTTGATGATTTGGCTGGGTATAGAATTCTAGGTGGAAAATTATTTCATTAGAGCTTTTAAGGCATTTACTACTAGCTTTTAGCATTCAGTGTTTACTGTTGAGAAACCAAATGCCATCTTGATTCCTGTTTCCTTATGTGAAATCTGTTTAATTTTTTCTGAAAGTGTACAGGATTCTCTTTATTCTGACATTTTGTAATGATTGTGCTTAATACTTAGAAAGCCATTTCAGTCTTAACACTTATGGCCTTTGAGGAATGCGACATTGCTTCTTTAATTTTTCTTTTTTTTTTTTTGGTACCAGGGATCGAACTTGGGTCCTTGCGCTTTCGCAGCAGGTGGTGAAACCATTGAGCTAAATCCCCGGCCCCAATAATTTCTTCCTTGTGATTTCTCTGTGCTCTTTGGATGCCTATTGATTACATGTTGGACTTCCTGGATTGCCTTTCTAATTTTCTACTTTGCATTTTTCTTTTTTCCCTAAGGAATTTTCTTAACATTATTTTATAACATTTCTATTTTGTTTTTACTTTTAGCCATCAAAGTTTTAATTTATAATCTATTTGGTTTTTTGGTTCTTTTCATAATATACTCATTTTATGGACATAATCTCTTCTAAAATTCATTTTGTTGATATTTTCTGCTAAAAAAACCTGGCATGGTGGTATATGCCTATAATCCCAGTTATCTGGGGAGGCTAAGAGAGAAGGATTGCAAACTTGAGCCCAGTCTGGGCAACTTAGGGAGACCCTATCTCAAAATAAAAGAAAAAGGCTTGGGGTCATAGTTCAGTGATAGAGCATGCATGAACATAGCATGCATGAGCCCCGGGTTTCAATCTTGGGTACTGAAAAAAAGTTTTCATCTTGTTACTACTTCCTTTTTGTTTGTATACTTTTTGGGGTCTTCTTGTTAGAGTTTTTGTCAAATACTTGGTGACTAGTGGCAGTCTTTTCATAGTCAAGCTTAAGTAAAGCTTGCTGACTAAGGTCCTTCATATTATGGCTGTCACATACTGAGCGTTGTAATTGGGGTTCCCCAAGGTCAGCATCTGAAGGCTTATTTCTAGACTGCCTGGTGCATCTAGAGAATCCTCTTTCCTAAGAGGATACCAGAAGAAGGTTGACAGTTCCACAATTTGCTATGTATATTTGCACTTACTCCCCATTTTCATCCTCAAGATTTACCGTTTTCTACCCTGTCTGGATTTCTTGAGTTTGAAATCTCTCCAGTTCAGTTTCTCTAGAGAATAAGTTCCTGTTCGGTGAGGGTGGGAGTGCTGGACATGTAGATATACAAGGCAGAAGAAGAGGAGTCTTAGGTGTCCACTTTATTTTTAGCCCTGTATCTCCCTGCTTTCAACAACCTGCTTTCAAGCACTGGCCCTCTCAGTGGTTCTGTTAGGAAAATGGTTTGCCTTCCAATAGTATCCCCCCTTGCAGGCCCTGGGTCTGGCAAGTCAGTTACCACCGTTGCTCCTTTCCTTTCTCTTTGACCCTGTGGATTACCACCCTTTTTATTTCCTTCTGTCATTCTGATGGAGTCTCAGGAAGGAGACAAGTTTAATGCCTCATTGAGTGATTAGTCTTCCTTTTACATTATAGGCTGAGCCTCCTCAGAAGAACAACTGGAGACAGAAGCATGAATCTTTCATCTGTACCCTCCGTCAGGCACGAGAGATCCAGCAGGTCATTGCCAAAGGTGGAAACCCCTCAGACTTGCCTCCCATCCTGCCTGCAGAAAACCCAGACTATGTTCAGTGTTCTCACTGTAGCCGTCACTTTGCTCCCAAGGTAGCTGAGCGACACATTCCCAAGTGTAAGACCATTAGGAACCGTCCTCCACCTCCAAGAAAGCACCATAGTTGAGCAGACAATAGTAGAAACCCCCTCGGACAGTTTAGAAGGCTCTTCTTCTCTGCAGCAATAAATAGAACTAGAATACTTTGATATAAAGCAGAGAAAAATACTCCTGAAATTTTTATATTACACAGCTCTGGTAAAACCAGGGAGACGGCTATTGCTAAGCAGCAGGAGGCAGGAGGAAGCCCAGCTTCTCACTAAATTACAACCTCAGCTGGTGTTTCTCATGTTCAGGCCCTAAGAACTGGTGGGTGGAGACACTGAATAGTGAACAGGCTACATTAAAGCTCTTTCTCACAAGCCTGACTCTGATTTGTGCTAGTGAAGTGTCTGCATTTGGTTATTTTTCTGGTCACTGCGTGTGTCCATTGTTTCTGTTAACTCTTCATGCTCTTGTAAGAAATAGAATTGGGCTAAGTTGGGGTCAGAAGACTGTGGTTACCCAGATAATAATTCTTATAAAAGATAATATGATTTTGCTTTTAGGCATTATTAATGAAAGTGTGTTCTTTGCCTCCATGAGGCATGGTCCTGGCCAAATGCCAATAAAAGTATATAATGTTAGGGCACCCGCACATCCTAAACCTTCCCTGTGGTGTACCGTGTAATAAAGGCAACATCTTTATGTACTTTACAGGGTAGGGACGGGGGGGAACATATTATACTTCTACTTGCTCTTTTCTAATGGGTTTCATATGTTGAAAAATGATGAAGCTGCTAGCTCTCTGCTTTCAAATCATGTTGGCTGAATGAGTTTTTTTTGGTACAGGGGATTGAATTCTGGACCTTGCGCTTGCGAGGCAGGCACTGTGCCACTGAGCTAAATTCACGGCCCTGAATGACTTTTTAAATGAGGCAGCAAATGTACCATCAAAGCAAGCTGGGACACTGCAGCGTCACATGTCCCTGCTGATTATAACATAGTTAAATTCTATTTTGAGGAGTAAATTCTGAAGGAAAAGAGAACAGATCTTTTAAATTTTCTGTGTAGAATAGTGCCTAGCACAAGTTAGGCCCTCAATTAATGGGTTTGGGAGACTTAAATTTAACCAGGTATGTCCATTCCCCAGGCAAGTTTAATGAGGAAGACACTACGTTCCACACTTGGTGTTAAAAGCAGTATGTGGTGAAGGTCACAAAGTGGCAGCCTGTGGACGATTTTCTCCTGTGTTTTATTGGCTGGGACGGCATTATAAATATGATCTGACATTGAAACACTGGGTCATGAAGCATCTCTTTGAAAAGCTGGAGGTTCTGGAAACACTGGACCAGGAACCTATACAGGGCAGATTTGGAGGGGTTCAGAATCAGTGGCCCTTCACTCAGGGACCACAGCAGGTGGGACCTGTTTCACATGCCTTATCTGCCTGGCCCCACAGGCACTTGGGTTTGGGATCCTTGGATGATGGTATTAGGGTCACAGGTCAGGGTTCTCCAGAGAGAACAAATGCTATTTAGGGAGTGTTTCTATAGACACAAGGATGTAGTAATTCATTCTTAAGTTGCTGAGAAAATAGTTAATGCCTTCATGTTTCCTTTGATCTCCTGTTTAGACTTTGGTTATTCTATTCGTCTTTTAAATTTAGCTTGACTTGGCTTTTGGGAAGAGGTAAAAATTTTTTTCTATCTAGTCTCTTCCCAGGTGGGATGACAAAGGACACATAATGTTACTTGTAAATGTCCCTATTTTATATTACTTTATCCAAGAACCTTTAGTGCCAGTAAACATAAATTTTAAAGTTCAAAAAGTTAAGCAGTGGGAAAAATCTCACAGTGACACCCATGTCATTTAAAAGTGTGTACAGTGAAAATGACTGAAGTATGTTATGTGCATGTATGAGTCTGCCAAAATGAAGCTCACTAATCTGTATAACCAATAAAAAAAACTGTGTAGACAGTCCAAGATAATATTTCTTACTGTTGCATGCAGCTCAGCACCTTCTGGTCAGCATTTGCTTTTGGTCATTGATTGATCACTCTTCACAACTACACAGAAGGTAGCAGAGATGTGACACAGTCTTTTTCTCCCTAATGTCTATGACTGTCAGGTTTAAGGATCAACATGTTTATTTCCATAGTTAATCATTAAAGCAGTAAATGACTTCTGGCTTTGCAGCAGGAGGACCATGTTTTACAGTCCTGGGTATGGCCTGCTTAGCTCTGACACTACCATGACTAATACTTCTTTGGAGGCCCCAGGGATCTTATTTGAATGAATGTGTCTAAAATACTTCCATGAGTCTGAGTTGTTCTATTATCAATGTTTCTGAATAGATGACAAACCAAATGAAATTTGAATTTTAGCTTTAAACTTTAGCAATATGCTCAGCCAAGAGAAGTTGTAACTTGGCTGTGGTATGCCAGGGAGAACAAATACAGCTCAGTCTCTTTAAGTGAAGTTTTATAAACAAACTGGCGCAATCACTTGGAAAGGCCCCTACTGGGACTAAGGCGGTAAGTGCAAGAGTGGACCCTACTTTTATTGGCCCATTTTTTCCCTCCCTCTGCACTTTTAGCACTGTCTTGTAGAAGTTTTTAGGAAAAAAGTTGTAGCAGCAGCAATGATTTTGCTGGGAAGAATATGAGAAAGAAGCAGAGATTATTTCTGTGCAATGTTCCTTGCACTGTTTCTGTTGCAAGAACACTTATTTATTTAGATAAAGACTTAAGGAATCAAAGGTTCATGAAGGCCTAGGACATGGGTACTTTATCTCCAGTGACTGAGGCTGGTGTGAGGCTTACTAAGGCACAGCACGAATTAAGAGTTTAAATGTTTATTTAAAAGAGAAATGCCAAACCATTCCACCCTCAGTCTTTCCAGCATCTGGCTAACAGTAAGTACTTCTTTAGCAACAGTGTCAGCACTAGGAGTAACCCAAGTTATACTGTAACTCAAAAGCAAAACTACTAGAAAACCGAAAGCACCTACCACTTCATAAAGGAGAGAAGCAGGACAAAAGTTGGGGAGAATTAGCTACAGGAAACCATTCAAAGGCATTTCTGCTGCCTTGCCTCTCACTCTATCCAAAGGTGGCACTGCTGCCACCTTTGAACTGGTTTCTGTTTGCATAGCTGTTTGGTGGAAAAAATATATGGTTGTCCCAGGCACAATTCAGGAAAGTGCAACTTGTCTCTAAGGCACAGAACTTGGATTCTCAGCCAGATTAACAGCAAACCTAGACCTCCTAAGGGAGCATGCTAGAGAAAACTGACTACGGAGTTCCACTGCTAGGGAATGACTCCCCTCTGGAACAAGAGCAGGGCTCTTACCCCACTTTCTCACATTGTCACCCCATAGTCTCAGCAACGTGGCCATGTCCCTCAGCTCCAGAGCAGAAGTGATCCTTATGACGAAAACCCAAAATAACCCTCCTGCTCAGGCCTGCTGAGATGGTGAGCATGAGGATACAGGAACATGAAAGGTCAGTTAGTCCTTATGAAAACCACAG